ATACTTTTGAAGTTGTCCTCCCGTGGCTCTGCCATCATTGTACCATAAAAGTCCCTGCCTCTGACAGATTAAAAGTTGGTCTGTATTGGTTGTCTCAAAAAGACTACAAAATTGTATTTGTACCTAGCCCAAGGGATAGTAGCAGCTGCACTACTAGACACAAGTAGCATAGATCAAAGCGCTCCTCTGCTTTCAATCAAAGATTGGCAGCTCTGTGACACAGGTCTTTTGTCCTCAGTGGAAGAGATAGTCAATAATACCTGCAGACTCCAGGTAACATCCTACAAGAACCAGAGTGCTCATCCACTGCCAATCTTCGATAGGAAGCTCCCTGGCATTCATTTTCTCAAACCAAGCTGAAGGACAGTCATCAGAATGGGTACTCAAACAGTACTCCAGGCAGCTGGGAGCAGAAATGAAATATATATTACACATGTACTAGCTTCAATTTCTCAAGGGGGCATATAGATACCACTGAGTGGAAGAAATCAGGGTCCCAGAGGCAGCAGGGATTGAGAAACACAGGCCCAACATGCCTGACTGAAGAAATTGTATCATAGTCCCTGCCACCCACAAATAGACTCAGATTATGTGGGTGAAAAACAATCCATCAAACTATTCAGCAGTCAGCATATTATTTCAGAACACAAGTGCAACATTCAAGAACCTCTTATAGCCAACATAAGATCAATCTGTATGTACCAGTAATGATTGGATTAAAAGGAAGCACAGCCCACCAAGTTGACATGCTTCAACTGCTGCAAGTACTAGCCAGTGCATCAGAGAAAATCGGGGTGGCTCGGTAATGATAGGGAGCATATATAGTGGGCATAGCGTGGTAGCCACCCCCCCGATTTCGTAGCGCGAGGTAGCACTCAGCCGGATTGGATAGTGTCTCATAGCTGACCGACCTGCACCATAGCTACCTGTAGCGCATGGAGCAACACCAGTAGTTAGATACGCCGCATTGTTGGTCGGTAGGCACCATTAGATAGATATGACGTTGGACCGCTACCGATACTATGTGTTGTCTGTGGATCACGTAGCGCATCATCACTCACTGTAGCTTAGTGCCCTGCACACAGCCAGCTTGTATACAAGTGTCTCGGATAGAACAAATCAAATAAGCATACAGTACACTTCATTGCTATTAATCGAGTAGGCTACTGTCCCTGCCTGAGCTGAGCGGCCTCTGCAGCAAAATCCACATCGTCGTAATCATCCTCCGCTTCTTTCGGCTTCAGTGGACTGTTTCCGCCCAGTTTCCTGTACAACAAGTATGTGACATCAGTACGGCCGGACAGCATTAGTAGAAGCTGACACATACCATGCCTTCTGGAACAGATCCCTCGTAAGGCTCTCAAAAAATGCTGGTTCCTTGCTCTCCTTGTTCGTGAGCATCTGCAGTCGCCTTGCGTAGCTTTCCGCGTAGTCATCGGCCGAAAATTCATTGTTCTTTTTCTTGGATATGCGGTGGCCACTCTCCCAATCCTTCAGCGCGCATTCAATCTGTAAAATAATGAACATATCGAATCCGGCGGCACCTCTAGCAGAGAAGAGGAGTTGACTTACAGCAGTCGCCACTAAGGCCAGGACCGGAAGAGGGATGGGGTTGAAGGCGTCAACATATTTGATGCCATCAGAGGTCTTCTTCGTAGGGTCAAACCATTGCTTTGCGATGATTTCAACAAAGATTGGATGACTGTAGAAACCACTACGCTGCGAAGTACATGATAATCAGCTCTATATCCCCGCAAGCCAGTCATATATACCTTCTCTGGATCAGCGAACGTGAAGGCTGACTTGTCGAGCAATTTCTCGACTTTTTTCTTGACCTGTTCTTCGCCCTGGTGGATAGGTATATTGTACTGCGAGACTACAATGCCTTGTGCCTTGGTCTTGACTTCACCACGCGTCTGAGATCTCGCACGTTTGATCTATAAGATGGAATCAGAAGCAGACGCTGTCTATGTGAGAACAAGACTTACACAGTCAATGGCTTGCTTTTTGTACGCAAGATTATCCTTGAAACGATGGTCCAATGCAGGTTGGTCGAGCTCTTCTGCAGCTTGCTTGAAGCAACCTTTCACTCGAGAGTCGACGGCTTCTTGTGGTGGGAAGGCATCTTCGACAGCGAGAGTGACTCGAAAGATCTTGGCCGCACGGGGAAGGAGAAGCTGTGAATTGGATGTCTGCTGAGAAAAGGTGACTTTGGAGGATGTGCCACGCTGAGCAACGGGCGTCGAGGGTGGCTCCCTTGAGTCATCCGTAGGACGATCTGGAGAAGTTGGTAGAGGGGGCTCAGAAGATGGTAAAGTGCTGCGATATCTTGGATTAGCAGAAGTCTTAGCGGGACCTTGCCGGCGTGGAGGCAACTTTGAGGCAATGGGTTGGGGAGAGGACGCGCTGAACTACGTACAACGTGGACAAAACACGGGTTAATCATTCGGTCGGAGTTTGAAGACATTGAGCTCACCGTTGGCGCGTTGTTCCCCTTGCGCCGCTTTGAACTGTCCCATCCAACTACTTTATTGCTGTCTGCGTTGAGAGCCATATGTTATTCTTAAGGCGATACATGAGCGACATGGACAAGGTGTTGTTACCTGGCCTCGACTGCATAACACTGGCGCAATCATGATCACTCTCCTCGTCCGCGGTATCGTATGCGGCACGAGTTCTCTTCTTCTTGACTATGGGGGTAGCAGATTCGACATACTCGCCTTCATCCTCCTCGATATCGGGATCCAGCAATATCTCGTGAATCTCATCTTCAACGAGTTCGTCGAGGGACTTGCCGGTCTTCTGCTCAATGAACGTGATTTGTGCCTCGGTTAGAGTTTCTACCCCGACTACGGTGGCTTCACGTTCGTCGTGCTGCTTCTGCCTCTGGGCTTGCTGTCGCTGCCACTCTTCTTCCTTCTCTTTTGCCTCCGCAAGCTCAGCTCTTGCAAGACGTCTCTTCCCTAGTGGCGGTATCGGGTTAACATGCTGCGAGTATCCACAGTCACCTTTCCTCATCAATTAACTCACCAGTTTCCTCTAGATCTCGCAGCCTCCCCTTCACTTTGGCTACATCCCTTCGTGCTGCCTGCAGGCCTGGACCGCTTAACCTGCTGCCCAGTGCTTGCAAGTGGTCTGACCTCAACACAGAAGACTTGGATGCGGTACGAGAGCCCAACGGCTGTGGTGAAGGACTCTCCGTGCGAGGAGGAAGGCGCTGCGTACTGCGAGCCTTCATAGTGTGGCAAGAGGCAATGGTGGTTGGTTAGGAAAGACGCGAGACGCGAGTCGCGTTTCATTCGGGTGAGTGCCTTTTATATACGCTTGGACATGGTGTGGCTCAGTGGCTTGTGGCAGCTGGCCCCAAGCTGCGCAAGTCCATATAAATTTCATCCTTCTGGTACGTTGCCCCGCCTATACTCACAACCCATTCATTCCGAACAAATCGTGTCTGTATTCAATATGGAGACAAGCATCCCATCTGTTCCTGCTGACCAAAGGCCTTACTACCTGGTATGTGGCCTACCTCATCATTGCCATGCAAGTCCTGACGTGCATACTGATACACTAGACTCAGATCATGTATTCCGTGATATATTGTGATATTCCGGCCTCGAGGCCTCTATCGCACACAATCTCTGCCCACCTTTCGTGTTGTCATTGTATCTGCATGAGTGCAGAAGGTGAAACCAATGTGCAGTGGCTTTGTGAATTGCCATTCTTCGAGAGTGACGATATGGTGTGTGTCTTCTTCCTTTGATAAAGAGCTTTACTCAAGATGAATCTTCATAGCCTTGGATGGCTTGATAGCAGTGGGGTGTTGGGGTATATACCAGTATTGTAGTTGCATCCTGTATGCCTCATTGTAACTTCGACACGAGTCAGTAAGTGTGGCTCACGCACTTGGGCCACACTTCTCTTTTGCTACATCCTTGCCACGGCATACACTGCCAGAACTTCAGTCTCTCATGTCTTCCATTCCTGCTACACGTTGCCAGTCATGCCTGAAGGACTTCAAACGAGCAAGTGATCTTCACCGCCATCAGTCACTTGCCAAGCGATGCTGCTGGATCCTTGAGAAGCACAGGGAACGGACACCCAACGATATCCCTGATTATGCTCAATTAAACGATCTTGACGAGGATCCGCCGCGGTCACCAAATGCTGGCACCTTCCCAATGGACCTTGACTTCGAAGAACCTGCACCTGCCTTCGATAGTGGAGCACCTGCCGATGCAGCAGCTGCTGCAGATGAAGATCATTGCACTCGTATGAATGATGTTGAAGATGACCCCATTGTCATTGATGTATTCCCTGATGCTGGCCAAATTTTACGCTTTGATACAACTGTGCACAATGCGTACAAGAAGGACCAAAATTTGTCCAATCCGTACTATCCCTTTGCCAATTGCATGGATTGGGAGGTGGCTCAATGGGCAATCGATGAAGGCCCCAGCCAGGGTGCATTCACCCGACTGCTTAATATTGAAGGAGTAAGTATGGTCGAGCTTATGCATGCTGCCCATGAAGCCTCACCGAGATATCAGATTCAGGAAAAACTGGGGCTGTCTTACAAGGACTCCCGCAGCCTTAACCAGCTCATTGACCAGTTACCTGCACTTGCGCACTGGAAGAAGTCCATTATCACGGCTGAAGGTGTCCCGGGAGAACACGAGCTCTTCTTCCAGGATCCAATTGATTGTATTAAAGCAATCTATAGTAATCCTGCCTTCCTTGATCATATGCGCTTCAGTCCCGAGCAACATTTCACTGACAAGGAGAAGTTGCACCGCACGATCAATGAGATGATGACTGCAGATTGGGTGTGGAAGACACAGGTACGTGTACTTCTGAAACGGTGTGTGGCCACCACTGACCATCACGTATTGATAGGAGAAACTACCGAAAGGGGACACTTTGGTCCCAGTTATCTTGAGCTCCGATAAGACCCAGCTGACCGTGTTCAACGGCGACTGCACTGCCTATCCCGTATACATTACGCTTGGAGTCATTGACAGTGCGATACGTCGGAAGCCATCATATGGTGCACAGATGCTCCTTGGCTATCTTCCAGCTTCAATGGATGATGGGGATCTAGGAGAGGAAGATGCCCGCTTGGCCCATTCCCGGTTATTCCACTGCGGGATGAGCAAGATTCTCGAAAGCCTGAAGGGTAGTACGGCAAAGGATGGGATCGAGTTGACAAGCGCTGATGGAGCTGTTCGGCGCTGTCATCTTGTTGTATCTTGCTACGTCGCTGACTATCCAGAACAGTGCCTCGTGACGTGCACACGGCAAGGACGCACATGCCCTAAATGCAAAGTTACCTGGTCAGAGTTAGGGTCGGGCATCCAAAGGGAGACAAGAAAGCAAGAGGAGACTCTTAAGACCCTGCGGCATGCGCAAAAGCTCGGGTCTTCTCGTAAAGCACAGGAAGCACTCAAAGATCAAGGCTTGAATTTCGTTCCGGAGCCATTCTACGCAGGACTTCCTTTCACCTGTATCCACGAAGCTATCACGTCGGATGTTCTCCATCAGATCTTCCAAGGGTTGGAGGATCATCTAATCGAGTGGATGAAAATCTTGATGACAGACGCTGAGCTTGATGCACGATTCAAGCGTCTCCCGCCGATGCATGGGATGCGGACATTCAAGGACGGAATATCGAAATTGACAAACATCTCAGCCAAGGAACACAAGGAGATGTGTAAGCAGTTCCTGGGCTGCATCATAAATTGTCCGGATATCCCAGTTGCCGCAGTTCAGGCGTCCCGAGGTCTGCTTGATTTCATTCATCTGGCTCAGTATAAGAGCCACAGTCCAGAAACACTGGACGAGCTTGAAGCTGCACTCGAGAAGTTTCACACAAACAAGGAGATATTCATCCACTGAGGAGGCCGAACCCGTATGTTCTACTTTGCTGACTCAGAATGTCTGCGCCTGACTTGGAATTATACAGAGAATCATTTTAACCTCCCGAAACTGCATTCTGCCGGCCACTACAGATTATGTATTCAGCTTTTTGGCACCACAGACAACTACAATACTGAGACGACCGAACGTCATCACATTGACTTCGCAAAGGAGGCCTATCGAGCAACAAACAAAAAAGACTACTTCGACCAAATGACAATATGGTTGGAATGGCGTGAAAAGGTCAAGGCATTCGGCGTTGTACTGCAATGGCGTCAGGGAAGGATGCCCGTGCCAAGGATGAAGCGCCGTCGCCGTAATCTGACACCTGGTATCCAAGCCCTTGCTAAGGCACCAAGTGCCCCGAAAGTAACCTTCAAGGACCTCGAGGAGAAGCATGGTGCTATGCGGTTCGAGGGTGCTCTGAAGACATATATTGCACAGTACCGTGATCACGCCAATCCCGGTCGTCGAGCACGACGTGCAGACTCTGATATCCAGCTGCCATTTTCTGCTGTTGATGTTTGGTACCGGGTTAAGTTTGCTGTCCCCGATCTTCACATGGAAACAGAGGGACCAACCCTGCATTCTGCGCATGCTGAACCGGCCCGCACTAGCCTGGGGAAGCGTCTACCAGAACGATTTGATACTGTGCTGGTAAATGAGACGGACGAGTCCGAGGAAAGGGGAATGAAAGGTATGAGACGCATGGTCACCATCTTTCAAGTTTGACGAAGGCCACTAACGTATCTTCACCGGGTATGGCAGGGAAACGTGTGGCACAACTCCGTGTCATTTTCACTATCCCTGCGGACGATCTTGCTGTGATCTTTGGCTCTCGAAGAGAAGCGCCTGGCCCTCTTGCATATGTCGAATGGTTTACAAGAGCTCGTGACAAGGATCCCAACCATCTTATGTTCCCGATCTCTCGAAGCAGGGATGTCAGAGGAAACAGAATCTCCTCCATCATTGAGCTCGACACGCTCTTCCGTAACTGCCACTTGTTCCCAAAGTTTGAACCACGTGCCAACAGGGCTTGGACATCGCAAAATGTCCTTGAACGGTGCGATCGCTTCTATATCAATGACTGTGCTGACCATCACTCGTATCAAACTATTTGGTAGACAGTTGGGATAAGTACTACTAGTAGTGTCTTTTGAGTAGCACCCGCAATCGAAGGCAGGCAACTGTATACTGTGCTATGAAGGACTATCTATTCTATGGCGGGCGATGGTGTGCTATCCAGCGCTAATGCACCATATTAGGACACTATGGACTGCTAAGCATACGGTCGGAACGCTACCAAGGGCTATCAGTCTATTAAATCCGCTATGATGGACTATCAAGCAGGTCTGGGTGCTACATGAGCTGTGGAATCTACGGGGCACTGTATACGACACCTTACAGCTACCACGAGCTACATATTACAGCGGTGCGCTACACAGCAAACGATTTTTTCTGATGTGGGCAACTATGACATCACTCAACTACAGAAATGCACTTTCTGCAGTCAAGCTATGTCATAGTAAGCAGGAGCCAATGAGAAGCCAGAGATCCCAACCGGCATGGCACCTCAGCCACCGACTACAAACAGCCACAGAAGTCAATTCCCACGGTAACAACATGCCACACATGACATAGTGCATGCAGTAAAGGAAGGAGATACGATTAAATGCTAAAAACTTTCCATTAGATGGATAACCCAAAAAAACCTCTTTGTAGAAGAAACGATGGAAATACATGAACTCAAGACAAAAACACAGTGTATTGCAAACAGACACTACAAATCCAATTTTGTAGTCTTTTTGTAGTCTCCAATACAAGTGGACCTTAAAGCGGAAATTGAATTTTGTATTCAAGACTACAGCACAAAAGTTGCATGCATTCTCAGCAACACTGATTCCCACGGGTACAATGTTCGGCATGCACCCAATTTTGCAGGTAAGGACTCATCCTTCATAAACTCAGGACTGGTAATCACAGCCCCACCTTTTTTCAAGCAGCGGTAGAGTACTAGAATGTAAGGTGAGCGCGTACACGCGGT